CCAGGGGCCAGGATAAATCCACACTTGTCCTGCATTTCCCATTCCTCGCTTGCACACCTCCCCTGCACACTCTAATCTCGGAGCTCAACAGGCTCATCTGCATTTAAAAAAAGAGAGCGAGAGCGCGAGCGGCAATAGAAGGAGCAGGAGAGACTATCCAGAGCGCTTCATAAAAATGATGAATTGCTTTTAGATATTGGGCAGGAGAGAAAGAGAGTTCTTTTTTATTTGATGATATTAGTCTCTTAGCGGTGCATTGTTGCTGTGCATGTGAGCTCAAAATCTCAAGGCAGTCAAAGGCAAACGCCCGGGAATTGAAGTGTAAATGAGCCACTGCCGAGCATTTCATTTTGCCTTTTATGATTTCTCTTCCTCTCGTTATGTAGGTCAGCCTCTGTTTCTAACATGTGCCGTGCACGTAGGAGAGCGCGGGGCGGCAAGGTGTGCCCGGGGTGGCAGGAGGTGCCCGCTGCGCGTGGGTGCGGTAGCGGCACGGCGGGTGCCGGTGCAGGGACGGCGCTTGGCGCAGCGGCTGTGCGGTGCGTGCCTGCTTGTGTGCGTACGTGCCCGGTGGTGCGTGCCATGAGCGTCGGGCTTTGCCCGTGGCGGTCAGCAGTGGGCAGAAGGCTCTGGCATCACTTGCCCTCGCTGTCTTACCTGCAGACCGCTGAGTCTGGAGATACCTGTCCTCTCTCTCCCTCCCACCGAAGAATTACGGTTCCCAGCACATTAGCAATTCAGACGCTGAACTGGTCTGTGCTGGCAGCTCTGATTAGTGGATGTGATAAAAAGATCCGTGCATCTCCTTTGGAGACACCAGCCACGTGATTCAGCTGCTTTGCATAGATGGCAATGAATAAAGCAGTGTGTGGCAGGACAGGTGAGGATCTTTTCTTCTCCCATTCCTTGGCTTTCCTTTCTCTTGCTGGTTAGCAGAAAATGTGTTGTGTTGTGGAGCGCTCACAAAGGCTTGAGCAGAGCAAGTGCTTTCCAGAGCCTTGGGGATGCTCCTTGTGTCTGTAGTGGGGTTGGAGGCACCTCCCTGCTCACGAGCTGGGCTTTGACCTCCCTGCTGCGGTGCGGAGCTGGGGACAGACCTTTATTTTTCCAGTTCACGCTGGTAATAAGCAGAACAGGCAGCCTGGAGCGAGAAGGGGCACAGAGGAGGCAAGAGGGCTGACCGCAGGATTGTTAGCTCCTTTTGGACCATGCTGTACCTGGTCCTTGCGTGAGATGAAGGTGTCTAGCACGTATCCTGCCTCACCTGGCTGCTCTCAAAGGGAGGCAGGGCTTGGTCACTCAGGAGAGACTGTGATGAAGCCAAGGTGGATGGCAGTGCGGTGCCTGAGGGCAAAGGGGGTGCTGCCTTGCCAGGACAGCCTCCCTTCAGAGGAAGCTTTCTCTGGGTCAACAGGCTTTACCTACCCTGCTGTCCCTGCTGCCCTTCCCCGTGGCCACTGTGCTGCCTGCTCCGCACTGTACTGGCGCGATGGAGCAGGCGCTTGGGGCACAGCAGCCCTGGCAGGGCAGAGCCTTATTCTTAGGCATGTGGCTTTGGGATGGGTGGCTCTGGCAAGGTTGGCTTGGCTCCCCTACACCTCAAAGGCACCCTTGGTGTCCCTGGAGAAGAATCCAACTTGACTTCCTGGCCCTTGCAGTGCTGGTGCCCCGCAGGGCTGCAGCCCCTCCCCGAGCCCTGGGAGTGTGGGCAGCTCTGCAGGGGCAGAGGGGGAGGCATGGGGGGTGCCTGGACCTGGGTGCTGCTCTGCACCCGTCCCGTTGGCAGAGGAGCAGCTGCAGTCACCTGTCTCTCTGTGTCTGTGCCCGCAGCGTGTCGAGGGATGCTGTGCGGGTTCGGGGCGGTGTGTGAGAGAAGCTCCACCGACCCCTCCCAAGCCTCCTGCGTCTGCAAGAAGACAGCTTGCCCCGTCGTGGTGGCTCCTGTCTGCGGCTCTGATTACTCCACCTACAGCAACGAGTGTGAGCTGGAGAAGGCCCAGTGCAACCAGCAGAGGCGGATCAAAGTCATCAGCAAGGGACCATGTGGTGAGTGCACGGGCAGGCGACCCAAAGCCAGGGAGACTTGTCCTGAGCTCGTGTCATCGCTGCGGTGCTGGTGATGTCCTGGGGGATGGGGACGGGTCTGATGGGAAGCGACACCGAGAGAATCACCAGCTCTGTCTTGGTGATCAGCAGAGTTTAACAAGCAGGCAGACCGATGGCCAAAGGCCAACCAAGTGTCTTGGGTGGCTCTGCCTTCTGCACCGCACTGCCTCCCCGTAGCGGGCCACATCTGCCACGGCTAGAAGGTGGAGCTGGAGGGACCAGGCGTATGCACAGGCTGGGTGGGCTGATGAAAGCCCTTCCCCAGCCTGGCATTCACCAGCTGTGAGCAAGGAGCTGTGTAAATGAGACCCCAGTCTCCTCATCTCAGAGTAAATTAACTTGACCTTTCTCTCTTGCGGTGTTCTGGCTCGCAATAAATCCGCACCCGGCACTCCTGCTGGGGCTCTTGTCAGAAGGGAGAGAGTGCTGAGTGATTTGTTTAAAATAATAATCATCAAAAAGTGACAAATAAAGAAAAAAGAAAAGCTGGCAAATAAATTTTGGCCCTTCCCTGTTAGCGAGGAAATTGCTCCTCGAGCTCTTCCTCTAATTACGGTTTGCAGGAGGTGCCTTAAGGACCCTTGTTTTGCTCGTTTGCCGAAGCAAGAGGCTCTCGGAGAGCATGTGCAGGGAAGGGAGCTTGCAGCAGTGAGGCCGAGAGGTTTACAAAAGAGAGTCTGTGCCTCAAGTGCCAGGTGGGGAGTGAGCTCCCGTGCTCATGTGCTGCGGGCTCGGGGCTGATCCTACAGCCTCACAATCCTGCCTGCCTCTGCGGGCATCGGGGTGGGTGAGCTCGCTGCTGCGGGACGTGGCGCTGACTCCAGCATCCGCTGAAGTGAGGGAAGGACACCCATTGCCATTGTATAAGTTTCTGGGCATTTGGAAAGACTGGGGCTGTCTAGGTAGATACCATGGTGTGTCGGGCTTCTTTGTCCCATGAGAGGATCGAGCAGGAGAGGGTGGCACAGGAGCACGGGCCACTGTGCTCACACCTGTGCCATGCCCCCTCCTCTCTCCCGAAGGCTCCAAGGACCCCTGCGCAGAGGTGACCTGCAGCTTTGGCAGCACGTGCGTCCCCTCCAGTGACGGCCAGTCAGCCAAGTGTGTCTGCCCGTCGTCCTGCAGCGGCGTGCCCGAGAGCCCCGTGTGCGGCAGTGACGGCAAAGACTACCGCAGCGAGTGCGACCTCAACAAGCACGCCTGCGACAAGCAGGAGAATGTTTTCAAGAAGTTCGACGGCGCCTGTGGTGAGTCCCCTGCCCCCAGTTCCCCTGGGAGTGTTGCTTTAAAAACATTTCCTCCTGCGTCAGGAGTATGGAGGGCAGACCAGTGGGAAATGGCAAGGGTTGGGGAGAAGAACTTGCCCGCACGCCTGCTGTCATTGGCTCGAAAATGTGGACTGGGCAGGAAAAGGTCAATCTGTGGGTGACGGGTTTGAAACTCAGACCAAGCCAGCGCTTTCCCTATAGCATTTCGCTGCGGGTGTTTCTGCTCGAGACCCACTGACCTAGAGAGCAGTTGCAACATCTGCGCCACCTCCTTTCCCTCCTGCCGTTTCCCCTGGCTGGAGTCCCCCGGCTGCAGCTTTTGGCAAGCAGCCTGCTGCTTGCTAGCCGGCCTCCCAGGGCTCGCGGGCAGCCGGCTCCCTCTAATTAAAGGAGCCCGACCGGCACGGATCCCAGAGTGCAAACAGCCCTGCCACTCCTGGGGTGGCTTCCTCCTTGGCTATTGATGGCTGTGGATACTTGTAATTAAAAGCAACTGTATTCATTAGGAAAACCATGAGATCAGCCAGGACACGTGCCAGACCAGGGTTTGTCCCCAGGGAAGGAGTGTGGCAGTGTGTTTGGGCAGGCTGCAAACCTGGGAGAGCTTTAATTGCACTTTGGCTGCTCAGTCCCAAGTGGGGCGAGATGGGTGCCGGTGGGAGGTGTGAAAGAGGTGATGGCACACTGCGTGCTCCCGGTTTCTAGGGCAGAGAGGAGGCTTGGAGCCTCACTGCTCCTTCGAGGTCCTCCTGATTTTTAGCAGGGCATCAGCAGAAACTCAGGCAGTCTGCATTAAGCAGCTGGGCTATAGAGCCTGAAAATCTTGAAGGCATTTGGACTCTGTTGGGTGTGTCGTAAGGCTTGAGGACATACTGCGAGTTGGGGGAGAGAACAGGGATGAGCAGCACAGGCAGAGCACATCTCGAACATCCTCATCACATGGTCCCTGAGATGTGTCTCTGCACCTGCCTCATCCCCAGCCCCTCCGATGCAGTCCCCATCTCCTGCATCCCTGCCCCACTGGAGCAGCCTTATTTACCCGCAGCTCCTTGAGTCCACGCAAGATGTTCTTGTGATTTCGCTGGGGTTTGTAGAGGCCTCAAAGGAGGTAACACGTCCCTGGCTGACTGCTGGTGCGACTGCAGGGCGGCAGCGAGCAGGGCAGCCTTTGCTGGAGGCGGAACAGGAGACGGATTGGGTAGGACCTGTGGGATCTCCTTCGTCTGCTTCGTTTCCGTGATTACTGCGCGTGTTAAAATGGACAAAGCAGAAGGCTTCAGCTGTGACCTTGTCCCAGGCCAGCCTTCTCCAGGGATGTGGGGCAGCCGAAAGGGATGTCCCTGCCTGCTTGCGAGAGGCTGGGAAGCGGGGTAGTGTGTTGTTTCCTCTGGTCCGCCTGGGACTGTGTTCGACGTGGGGATTTCAGACTAGTAGAATTAAAGTGTGGAAACATTCAATCGTGTTTCTGCAATTGCAGAAATGAATCAGCACTCTCCAGGTGCCCTGCTTGACAAGGAAGAGAAAAACCTCGGGCTATAGTAGGGATTAGTGAACAGTCGGCTCCTGTTTTGCCCATGTCTTTGGTACGCTGGTGTGAGCTCAGCTCATCAGAGAGGGCGATCCAGATGAGCCTAGATTGGAGCAGTGGGGCAAGGCAGTGTGTGACCCTGGCTGCCTTTGGGCGTCTTCCAGCACTTTGGGAAGACAGGGAGGGAGAGTGGGAGGAGCAGGATGGGAGTAGCAAGCATCTTGAAATGCCCAGTGAGCACCCCTTGAACTGGGGAGGTTTGCCTGGGTTGGGGGAGAGAGCCCTGCGTAGAGGGGAGTGAAGGCAGCTCAGGATGGGGAAAAAAGGCAGAGCTCATCCCATCCCATCCAGTGGTCACTTTGGAAAGGGCACGTGTCCTCAGTGTGCGCAGCTCAGTAAAAAATGAGTCCTTGCATGTGCTGAGCCCTACGGATGTCCAGTCCCAAGGAATAGATGAGCGCATGCTGGATGCTGCTGGGGAGGTACAGAGGCTCTTGGGGCCGGCTGGGAGGGAGGAGGACAGGCCAGGGAGCACTCCTCTGGGCAGGGCACAAGCGTTCCTGACTATCTGCTCTGGCTCTGTGCGCAGACCCGTGTAAAGGCGTCCTTAACGACATGAATCGTGTTTGCCGGGTGAACCCCCGCACTCGAAGGGTGGACCTGCTCCCCCGCCCCGAGAACTGTCCCTCAAAGAGGGAACCTGTGTGCGGCGATGACGGGGTGACTTACGACAACGAGTGCGTGATGGGGCGCTCGGGGGCCGTCCGAGGACTGGAGATCCAGAAGGTGCGTTCAGGGCAGTGCCAGCATCAGGGTAAGTACCTCTCTGCTTCGTGGGGAGCAGGAGCATTCGGGTTCCCGACCTTCTCCGCGGCTCCGTGCCATGCTCTTGGCAATGAGAGCATACCCCCGATCCCTGACCCCAGGGCGGGTGCGAGCGGTGCTGTCCTCTCTCCTCCCAGACAAATGCAAGGACGAGTGCAAGTTCAACGCTGTCTGCCTGAACCGCCGCGGCACCACTCACTGCTCCTGCGACCGCATCGCCTGCGATGGTGCCTACCGGCCTGTCTGCGCCCGGGACAGCCGGACCTACAGCAACGACTGTGAGCGCCGGAAGGCTGAGTGCCACGAGAAGGCTGCCATCCCAGTAAAGCACAGTGGACCCTGTGGTAAGCGCTGGTGCCGCCGGGCTGGTCGCCCGCAGGAACACTGGTACCCTGCACCTCTCCCTTCCCAGCCCCAGCAGGCGCTTTAAGCCCGGTCTGCGTCAGCCCCTTCCATGCAGGCAGCCGTGCTCGCCTCGATGCTGGGAAGCTGCAGGTGAGTTGTGACTGGGGGCCCCCC